CTGGATAACTTGTTGCTGGATTTGTTGTGTAGCATGTGAAGATGTTGCCTCAGGGGGCTGGGATGAAGAACCAGCCTCAGCGTGTATCTCTGCAGGCCTCTGGTATGACAATGGCTGAGTTGTTACCCCAGCTTGATATGGGGCCTGGGTTGCTTGGTGCAGCTCGGGAGCTGGTGGCCTGGACAGCCCACCAGCAGGAGGGGTCCCATGGCCACCTCGAATGCCACCACGGTGCTGAGGGGGTGGTCCCCCTTGATACTGCTGACCACCTCTCCCTTGCTGATATTCAGGAGGCCCGTGATAGTACTGTTGTGGAGAGCCTCTTCTCCCTCTGCCGTCGTGGCCACCATACCCTCCACGCTGTTGTCCCCATCCTCTTCCTCCTCCACCTAGGTGTCCACCTTGCTGCTGTGGATGTTGTGTTGGTGGATGTTGGCCACGAGCATGTCCTCCCTCAGTCCCCTGGGAGTCAGAGCTCTCACCTCTTCCAGAATGATCAGTTCTCTTCTTCCTCCCCATGGCAGCTACCACACAATATAGAAATTAGAAAATGCTTTCACCAAATACGAATTAAAATACCAAATGGCGTCGCCAAAATATTTAGTTTCCACACAAATAAAAATCATTAATATATACATTCATCCATCAGAGAAAGTTGCACTTTAGTAGACAGTGGGAAGACTGTCAAAATTCATTTAAAAGAAAAAATGATGGTGCCAAAACCATCCAGTTATTTTGCCTGAGAAAAACTATTAATCCACTAAACATTATTGCTAAAACCTAGAAACGGCAGACAAATTAACACATTGAGCAAATGAGCTAATCTAAAATGCTACAAACGCCCTAAAAACAAATCCAGAAGGCTTTTCATATCGTAAAATAGAAGTATGTTCAATAGTTTCGTACTTTTACATGTAAAGACATCTCTTCCTTTTTCTTTTTCTTTTTTTTCTTTTTTATGGGAAATAGATGTAAAGTCCCGAAAATTTTCATAAAATAGAATTACTTATTTTATATGCTATATTTTAAATTTTGAAAAGTTAGGAGGACGAAAGTGATATATGTATTAATACAATTTTATTTGGCTTAATTATTTAGACTTCAATAGGGCAAAAATAAGTATATCAACATAGGGCTGGTTGGATAGCTATTAATTAATTATGTATATTAGGCTCGAAAAAAAGTTAATTCGGATAAGTAAAATCTAAGTTATTGAAGTTTAAAGAAGTTGTCATTAAACATTATTTTATCAATTTGTTTGATTTGTGAAAGTGGGTGGCCAGGTAGTGGTTGTTGAGATTGAGTTAAAATGGGCTGTTTTATTTGTATTGGATAGAAACTTTAGGTAAATTGAACTTCCACTTGTTATAGGACACTTGTACTATATTTATTCATTTATGCAACTAATTTCCACATAGAACTATATAATTTCTATAAACACAACACTAGGTTTAAAATAAAGTTGAAACGTGATTTTAGTTTCGTCTCTCCAAAAATTTATTTGATCTTACGAGGTAAGATAACGAAATGCAGTTGTTTTTATCCCGTTTAAATTATTTTTGTGTTGCTGATCTATTATACTTATAAAAGTTAAAGATATGATACGTATAATATGGCTATCCGGTACCAAAAATATGATATGTATTGAGCTCTTACTTGTCCCTGAAGATATGATAACAGTATGATATTTTTTATGCATGATTTAAATATTTTATTTGGGATTGCACCATTATTTGTGTCCTACTGAGTATTCCGATATACTCATTATTTTTCCCTACCCCTCACAAGTTAGAACGGGTTGTTGGTTGGCAAGCAATAGAATTCAATAAATTAAATTCGGTGTAACATGATTATGGATTTTATTTTCAGCATTTTTTTAATTTTTTTTATGTGGATTTGTTATTTAGGATTTGGAACATGTTTTATTTGGTTATTCTTTCTATATGTTTTATTTAACATTGGCTAAACCAAAATTTCATATGGTGACGTTTGATTTATTTATTCAATTACGATATGAATAAGATATGGCATAAGAAAATCTTTGGCCTTTCCTTTTTATAAATGAATATATAAAATTTTCTACATGAATTTTAGTAAATTATCTAATTTTTAACATATTGCATGTCATGTTATTTAAATTTTTAATGAAACTTCTGGTAAGGTTTAAATATTAAAATTTTGGGTCGTTACAATAGGTGCCTGATAATTTCACAAAAGCTCTTAGAACGTCAACATTGTCAAAGAAATTGTTTTTGTATAAATCCACTATTGAAAAATTCTATTAGCTGAACAGAACCAAAATTAAACTCAACAGAAAAAAAAAATGTATGTGTGTGTGTCTGTGTAATGGAAAGAAACAGTAAGATTCTATAATATAGAGAGCTCAACAAACCTAAATCACATATAAAAGGTTGAAAAACGCAAAAATAATCAAGTTGCAAAATTAAAAACATTATTACAGAACATTTCATGAGACAATTAAAGGGTATCAGAGTCTTGAAGAAGTTAAGCCAAATATCTTTCAGTCCAAAATGAAAACAGAAAAAAGGAAACAAAAATTTCGACTTTACTCTTTTAGAAGTCATAAATCGTATTCTCTCGTAACAAAAACCCAAAATTAATCATCAAAATAAACCCATAAAACACCAGAAGCAGTTAAAAAGACACTAACATCCTCAATCCACCCAGATCAAACCAAATAACACCAGAAAACTTAACAAACTCAAACTCAAACACATCACTAACAGCACAAACTACTCCAGTGAACTTTTCGTTTTACCTTAAAACGGCCTTAAGAGTCGTCGTAGAACTGGAAATTTTCCGAAGCCGGTCTCTTTCCTCAAACACTAATTGACACCAATAAAAGGTGAGGAAAGCGAAATAAATTACTAAATATTGAGAGAGGTGGTGCTAAAATGGAAGAGGGTTGTTTAGAAAGTGACATTGGAGTTTACAGAAGCTGCGAAAATGCCATCATCCTGGATACATTATACGTACAACTTAGCCCAATTTGACCTCATTAAATTAAATGTTTTTTTTTTAGTATTTTTAATTACACGATTTTTCATAAAATAATATTATGCATAAATTATAAATTCTTCAACCATTCCCTTTTCAAAAAATATTATTCCATTCATTTTCATTTGACAAAAAAAAAAAAAAACGGAGAGCCAAACGAGAGCTTAACAGATAGTTGAAGTTCTTTTGAAACTAACATTTGGGCCCCTGCTCTAAATCATAATCTTCACTAGACCCTATTAATAATTCATTCGATTAATAGAAATTATATTGCTCCTTTCAAAAGGAAAAATCTATTGTCATGTTTGATCGGAATTAAAATTTACCCCTTGTTTGAGCTTCATTTTTGTCCTAAAAAAAAAAGAAAAGAAAAGAATTTTGAATAGTGTATTAATGAAAAATGTCTGATTAAAAAATAAGGAAAAGCTTTTAGTTTGCGTGTAATATTATTTTATCGAAAAATGAATGATTGAAATGAAATCAAAATACTATTCAATATTCATTTTTCCCCCCCAAAAAAGGGGGTTCGAACAAGGGCTAATTTTAATTTAAATCAAAATGAATAATTAATTTTAACCATATATTTAATGAGATTATAGCTTTTCAACTACATATTTCATCAATTTTCACCAAAATCTATTTAAAAACTGATTTTTGTAAGCAAGGGTATAATGTTATTTCAAAAAACTAAAATTTTGAAAGTTGAAATCCTTAATTAAAAATTAAAATATGGAAATTAAGGGGGGTGGATTCAATTGGGATTTTTAAAGACTTTTAGAGACTTTTTTAAGTGGATGACTTTTGTGGACTTTGTGAAATTTTAAGTAATTTCTATGGATTTGGTAGGAATTAGTAAAAGTTTTTCCTGGATTTGTGGAGATTTTTACTAAAGACGTTTAAAGACTTTTGAGGATTTTTTTTTTTTAAGGAAATATGTTTTTCACAGTGTTAAATGTGAAATATCGAGGAATATTTATGAGAATTCACAACATTCACTTAAAAACAAATCTTTGAAATTAGAGGGAGAGATAGAGATCAACTAGTGAAAATTTGCCATAACCTGATTTGAAGAAAACTCATAGCAAAGATTCAAAGAAATATATAATTGGAAGAGATAAAGGAAAAACCTAGAGGGAAATAAGAATAGTATATTCTTTTTAGAAATCTCTCTATGGATGAGAGATTTTGGGAGAAAAATCCTATTTATATTTTCTATTAAAAAGTCTCTGAAAGTCCAAGAAATTTTAAATTCCCTGAAAGTCCCTCTAAATTGAATACCCCAAAACTTGTAGAGACTTTTAAAAAGTTTCAATTGAATACCCCGTAACTTCTGGAGACTTTTTAAAAGTCTATAAAAATCTCTATTGAATACACCTAAACTTTTAGAGAGTCTCTAAAAGTTTTAATTGAATACACCCAAACTTTTTAAATCTCTAAAAGTTTTTAAAAGTCTCAATTAAATACACCCCCTAAAATGAAGATTTTGGGAATCAACTTGTTAGGATTTCAATTTTGTTATTAATTTTTCTCAGCAAACTGCCTCAATCAAATTTTTTTTACCCCCTTTGAAATAAAATAAAATAAAATAAATTTTCTTTTATACTTATTTTAACTACACACTCAATAAAATATTTTGTGGGCGGATTCAAAATTTTTTCCCAACTCTTACTCACACATTCTAAAAAAATTACAATTCAAAACATCATTTTTATACAATAATGACCAACAAACATAGGCCTAATAAACATTGATCATTTATCCTCTATTGGATTACCTGTTAATTGAATTTTCAAATATTTTATCACAAGTTTTTGTTTATTATTATTATTATTATTATTATTATTATTATTATTATTATTATTATTATTATTATT